CTTTATGTTAGATCTTTTCTTCAAATACTTGACCCCTTGTCTACTTATATTTAAGAACAGGGCACTAAAAAGCCCATTTGAAATTCCGTAGGCATGGGGAAATCCAACTAGGTTGCTAGAATTCTGGGAACAGACTAGAAGGAAGAAGGTCGGGGATTCAAGAGTCAGTATGTAAGTTCTCACCTGTATGTATGCTGTTTTCTAATCAGCCCACTTTTCTCTAGCTTCCCCAGTCCATAGACCTTGTTTATCCTGTCCAGATAAATCTCCAGTCTAGAAAGGGATGGGGGAGAGACAATTACATAGCTGTATGGGGCAAGGGAGTTACCTGGTGGTAAAAATGCCTGAGACTTTCTAAATTATGTAACAAATAATAGGTTATTTTAGAATTTCCCTAGTGTCATCTTTGGATTCCCTTTCTCAAATCCACTCTGTCTGTTATCACTTATCAGTTTTCTTTTTAACCTCCAATATTATTTTCTGTTTTTTCTTCTTCTTTTTGACTTTGTGAGCTTTCAACTTCCTTCTTTCTTTCACTGTCTATATTTGTTTTCTAGGGCTGTAGGATTCTGATACCAGTTCTCATGTGTGGGTTTTTCCCCACACCAAGCAATTCTTCAACACCAGCTGGGTGTCCTACAATTCAACTCAATTTTCAATTCTCAACTGCCCTTGCTCCACCACTTCAGACACCAATTGCAAGTCCAGGTTGTCCTCTGGGTTTCTTACCTTTGGGCTATAGTTTGGAGATTCCAATGACCTCCTACACCAGTTTGATTAATTTGCTCTAGCGGCTTACAGAACTCATAGAAATATTTTACTTATGGAAGGGGTGCATAGGGCAAGCTATGTGGGAAGGGGCGTGGCGCTTCCATGCCCTTTCCCAGTGCATCACTCATCCAACACCTCTACGTGTTCCCCAACCTGGAAGCTCCCAGAGACCTGTCCTTTTGGGTTTGTATAGAGGTTTCATTACACAGACCTAACTGATTAGATCATTGGCCACTGGTGATTGAACTCAATTTTGAGCCTCTTCCTTCTGGAAGGGGGGTTGGGACTGAAAATTTCAACTCTAATGTCATGGGTGATTCCTCTGGTGACTAGTGCTCATCCTTAGGTTACCTAGAGGCATTCCAAAAGTCACTCATTAACATAACAAAAGACACCTTTATCCTCTCATCACTTAGGAAATTCCAAGGGTTTTAAGAGCTCTGTTCCAGGAATGGGGTAGCAGACCAAATATATATTTCCTATTATAAATCACAATATCACAGGCTGCCATAACTAAGTACTACAAACTGGATGGCTTAAACAACAGAAATTTATTGTCTCTCAGGTCTAGAGGCTAAATGTCTGAAATTAAGGTGTAGGCAGGGTTGGTTCCTTTTGAAAGCTGTGAGGGAGAATCTGTTTCACTGCGCTCCTAGCTTCTGGTAGCTTCTGGTATTCTTTGGTTTAGGGATGGCATTCTTCCTGTGTCTTCACATCCTCCTTCCTTTATGCATGTCTGTCTCTGTGTTCAAATTTCTCCCTTTTTAGAAGGACACCAGCCATTTTGGTTTAAGGTGTACCCTAATGCCCTCATCTTAATTTGATCATCTGCAAAGACCCTATTTTCAAAATCGTATCCACAGATACAGGTTAAAGCATCGACGTCTTTTGGGGGTACATAATTCAACCCATGACACGGTTCTTTTAGTGGATTTCAGGAGACAGCAAAGATAAATATATCTTTTTCAATCCACTATCTTAAGTCAGAAGTCTACCCTTTGCTCTGTGACATGACGTACTGGAAGTTTTTTGAGTCTTTACTTTGTATCCAAAGCACTGAAGATATAAATACAAGTAATATGCCATCAAATAGCATAGTCAATTGGGAAAGACTACCTGAAACTAGGGACTTAAATGCCATTAGAATTCCCTCTCTCTCTCTGTCTCTTCTTATCTATATATCTTGCCTCTCTGAGTGTCATCTTCTTTATCTCTCTTATCTTGGACCCGTGCATTTGGACAGCACATTTGGACTGCATGAGACTAAAACAACGGCTACTGTAAGCCTCTGATTTTATATCATCCAAACTTCACTACCAAAGAAGGGACCTCTAAGAAAATGTTCTGATCAGTCTTTTGTAAATCACCTGGCCTTCTAAATGGTCAAGGCAGTGAGGGTCTATGATTGGTGGATCCCACCTGAAGGACTATGTGGTGTCGGTGTGGGAAGTGTAGTTGCCTCCAAAACCATGTATGTCCCCCTTAAAACAATGAGAACTAATAGGTATCATAACATCTAATAAGCATCATTATATGTGCTATAACAAAGATAAGCACACAATGATTTGGAAGCACATTGAAAGGATACAGAATGACCCAGGCAAATGAAATCAAAAAGCTTTCCTGAAGATGATGCATGAACTAAACCCTGAATGATTTACAGGAATTAGACAGGAAAAACATAGGAGAAAATGTTTTTACAAGAAGAGCCTTTGAGAATATCCAATGGCCAGAAACAAGGGCAAGATAGGGAAAGAAGTAATTTAAGTAACTTAGTATGCCTGGAACATATATGTTCTATATATGAGGATAGAGAGAGAAATAGCAGCAAGATGATAAGTTCTCCATTTCTCTACTAAGGACTTGGAACTCATCCCAAAGACTATAGAGAATCTCTGACCATTGAATGATATTAAGAAAGCAAATGACACAATGAAATATGGTTTTGTTATATTTATTCTGGCACTGGTGAGCTTCTTTTCTCCTTTTCTCCTAGAAATGACAAAGAGAAAATTAAAGACTAATTAAGAAACGGTTTGAGTAATAGTGGTGGTTTTTAAAACACGTCCACAAATTCTTCAACATTCTTCCCATCTGGGGGGGAGGCGGTGTATGGTCCATTCACCTACTAAAGGACATCTTGATTGCTTCCAGGTTTTGGCAATTATGAATAAAGCGGCTATCAAAATCCTTGTGCAGGTTTTTATGTGGACAGAAATTTTCAGCTTCTTTGGTTAAATACTAAGGAGGATGATTTTTGATTATGTTGTAAGAGTATGTTTAGTTTTCTAAGAAACCACCAAATTGTCTTCCAAAGTGGCTGTACCATTTTCCATTCCTGTCAGCAATGAATGAGAGTTCCTGAAATGTGAGATTTTTACATATAGTATTTTGTCTTTGGTTAAAAAAAGAATTTTGAAATATTTTTATCTGAGTGAATGTGTTAATTTATAAAATTACCTTCTTCATACTATTTTAAATGTTATGCTGAGAATAAAGGTAGAGAGCAAACTTTAGAAGTTGACGGATTGGCTATTCTAAGGTAAAGTATTAGCATTTAGAAAACCCTTAAGGCAAAAAGATTAACCAATGTTTCATCTGGAAATTATTTTTCATACATATTTTTCAAATATACCACTGTGCTAGGTATTTTTAAAATAAAAGTTAAAATCAGCATTTTAACTAGCTACAATTGTTTCCAGTCAATTTGATCAAAAACAACACTTAAAATATTAATCTTCAGAGCCAGCCCTGATGGCCTAGCTGTTAAAAATTCTGTGTGCTCTGTTTTGGCAGCCTGGGTTCAGTTCTTGCACACAGAACCACACCACTTGTCTGTCAATAGCGATGCTGTGGCAATGGCTCACAGACAAGAACCAGAAGAACTTACAACTATACACAACTATGTACTGGGGCTTGGGGTGTGGGGGAGAAGAAAAAAGGAGGAAGATTGGCAACAGATGTTAGCTCAGCCCAATCTTTCCCTGGGGGGGGGGGAGATACATATATATATAAATCCTCACCATAATTACTTTTCTCAACTGGTTGTAAAGGACTCCTTTGAAAGACTTAGCTATATTTGAGTCAAAAGTAAAATAAGTAACAAGGAATTAAACCATTTCCAATTTGAAAATAAGGACTCAAAATTATAAACATATAATAGGATAAAATAATTCTTGGATTTTCATACATAAAAAGGGTTGAAAGATGCCATGGAGAAAAAGAATTAACATCAAGAAGTAGGACTATGCAATTCATTTTTCTTGTTTCAATGATGAAACTTAGTTTAGTTTTTTTTGTGGGTTTCTGTTTTAAACCTGAGACACTGAGACATCGATAAAATAAGTGACGGGTTGCCGTCACGCAACATATATTTTTCAGAACTCCCTGGACTTATTCAGAGCAAAGCAGCCCTTTCAGGTGGCACAATTTATTCACATTAGGGACACTTAACCAGTATTACTATCCTCAGGTGAAATTTTTGCAAAAGGAAAAAGAATGTTGGAGAACTACCGAGTTAATCACCTTAATTGCTTGCTATTTTCTTTTGCAGAAAATAGGCCCAACTTCTGGGTTAGAAAGTGAATCATCTCTATATTGGAACATGCGTGAAGCCCTCAGTATACATGACTGACATCACGTCTCTGGACCTTGATTACACCTCATGCCCTTCACCTTATACATCTCTTCAAATTCCTGAGTCATGCTCTGTTTATGTCGTTCCTCTGGGAGCAAACTGCGGCATGGACCCAAACACAATGACGCCAGCGTGGTGAAGGAGGGGTCACGGTTAGAGGAAGGCAGCCTGGCTCCCGAGGTGCCAGGCGGGTGAAATTGAACGGACAAAGGGCAAAAGGCAAGCAACGGATACTTCTGCACTGGCCAAAGGAATCCTAAGAACCTCATCCCTTCTTTTTCTTGATTCCACATCCCAACAAGCTGGAAAAAGCTGGATTTTCGCCCTCTGTATTTGTTTTTGGGGCCAACCAAGAGACAGCGAAGGAGAGGGAAAGACATCTTTAGAAAAAAAAATGTTTTTTTGACTTTAAAACAATCTTTAATGTCACAGTCACAACAAAATAAGAAGTAAGAAATTTTCATGTTTGCAGCGGACTCTATTCAGGAAATCATTAGATAGAAAGAGAATACCCTGAAACCGACACTGTTCCTGCCCACCCCCAGGCCGCGCGGTCCAGAGCGCCGGGGGGGGCGGGATGAAGGGCGGGGCTCCGTGAGGTCACAGTACCTACGCGCCGCCGTGTTGTTTTTGTGTTCCCAGCTCTTGGGAAAAGCCACCGGGATTTCTTCACCTGCCTATTCTCTACCTCCGCACCAGCGGACCCGCCATCCCTTCTGAAAGCTCTGCCAGGCTGCGTTGCGACGGGAGCTGCCATTTCGGAAGCGATTCTGATACATATTGAAGTTCGGCGGAGGGAAGCAAGACGGGAGAGACGCAGTCATCAGCGAGGGAGGCAGGCCCCGTCCGGGGATCTTAGAAACCCTGCGGTCCATCATGAAGTTCCAGTATAAGGAGGACCATCCCTTTGAATATCGGAAAAAGGAAGGAGAAAAGATCCGGAAGAAATATCCGGACAGGGTCCCTGTGAGTGTAATGGGAGTGCGGAGGGGGAGGGGAAGCGGATCCCCATGGGCAGGGGCGTCGTGATGGCTGCCTTCAGGCGCAGAAGAAGGGTGATCCCTCAATTACTTAATCCTGAGCGCCCTTCGCTACCAGGAGAGCCAGTGGAATGGACGTTCTGATTGCGGACCTTTTAAAACCCATAAACCCAGGGCCCCTACCCATTTTTACAGCCGACCGCATCTTTAGAGCAGAGCTTACGTTTGAGTGACTCAGCAGTATTCAGAAGCGATGTTGGTTGAGATGCTCAAAACGTGGCCCTTTTGTGGGAGAATAGTTAGGCTGGGACCTTGGATTTGCTGCTTTTAAGATCGCAGGGAAATTGTTCAGGGATTGACTGATGCAATGGGGTTTGCTCCACTCGGTTGCTGCCTTAGATGGTTCTCCCTTAATCGGGTTGACTTTGGCCCTTATGACATTGGGTTTGGAAGCCAGTGCATCCTTTCCTTTTTTTGTGAGGATTAGGAAAGCAGGGGGAGGGGGGCGCCACAAGACAGCCCTGGCCCAGAAAACAAGGTCACGTTCTCTGCGCCACAGCCCGGTTGCCTCATCATTCTTGGCTCCAGGGCATGTGTGGGGCCAGCCAGCCTTCCTTCTTCCGGTACTGATTTTGATTAGATTGTACCTAGATACAATAGGGAAGGAATGAGGTCTTTTTCCTTCCGTTTTACACCCTGGTTTATGTAATTAAAACTAGTGTAGGCGGTGAGGAAGAACAGAAAAGAAAGAATAAGGAATCTTTCTGCATCCGGGCGTTTTTCCCGTCCCCTCATCCCCCGCCACTTGACTGGTTTTTCTCTAATATAGGCTGCACAGCCGAATTGGAGGGCAGAACACAAGTATTAAGGTAATGGAACAACAACCGTTGGATTTTGGAGAAGGAAGAGCAGACACTTTAAGATTGTGCTCTTTATCTTCAGGCGGGGACGTTAGGATAAATATTACATGTAAATTACAGGTAAAGAAATTGCGATTAGCTGATGTCCTTTCTTGACCCCCAGATTCTCTTTCAGACTTCTCCCCAACGTTTGGCTAACTGTCAAGGTCTTAACAGCCACCGGAAGCAACTCGGGCCTTAGGCCAGCCCTGGAAACCCGTTGCAGTCCTTTTCCTATAAGGAAGAAAGGGCATTAGGGCTGTTCCATTCCCCAGGAATTGCATACAAAGAAGTTGTGGCTAAAAAGGAGAGCTAGCCCTGTTACTCAGTAAAGGATCTTTCACAAATTGCTTTCCTGGTCTCTGGACCTTGGGTGACCTCTTTAAAAGTGTTCCTCAAGTCTGGTGATTCCAATCCTACTCTCTTATTATAATATTTGAAAGTGACAACTAACTTACTGATAGTTTACCGGGTACCTGACAGTATTTTAAGTGCTCTGTCTTTATTCATTCACTTAATCTTCACACCATTATAATCCCGTTCTACAGAAGAAGGATCTGAAGCACAGAAAAATGAAGTAACTTCCTAAAGGTTTCATATGGCTGGTGTGTGGCAGATTCAAATTCCACCTGGCTGTTGGACCCTCCATGCCATATCATTTCTCAGTTTCTAATCCACTTTTGTTAAACAGAATTATTTAAGTGTGCACTCTGCCTCACACTGTTAGGTATGGGAAATAGAAATGAAACTGTTGCTGCCCTCAAGCGTTCATGGTAGTATGATGCCAGAAAGGTAACCCAGTCAGCGAAATGACCCATTTATTCAGAACTCTGAGGCTCTGTTCCAGGAGCTCCACCTAAGTCACAAACACTGAAATCTGTCAGTTCCTAAATCTACTTAAAATTCCCATGTATTTCCTCAAAACTGAGCCCTTCCCATTTCAATCATTTACAAGCATTCACTCAGAATATGCCAGCTAATCCTCGCTATTTTTTTCTCTTCATTCTTTGGTGTTAAATGTTTGACTTTGATAATTTGTAAGCTGTTATGACCATAATAGATCAGATTGCATGGTTCCCTCGGTTTGATTTTAACCAGTGATGGGCCTCCCCAGTGCTCCTCAGGTGCTCAGCCTGTGACCTTCTTTCTAGTTGTGAACACAGGAAGAAGAGCTCTGTTTTCTGAGATTTGGTTCTAGGCGGAATCCTTTATCTTACTGTGCTAGTGTCCTGTTTACAGAAAAGACAGTGAGAGTAAATGATTTCTGAAGTCCCTGCCAGCTGGACCCTTGGTGTGATTAAGGCCGTCATGTACCCTGAGTTCTCGCATACTTGAGCCTAGCCCCAACAGTGTCTGTTAGCTGCCATCTGAAAGAATAGGTGTGCCTTTGCCTTGAGAGAGGAGGGTATCTTGGGAGTTTGAAATTATCGTAGTGGCTACAGTGTATTAAAAACCTGCAACATAGCAGGAAAGCGTTAGTAACAGATTGTCTGTTTTTTAAGATTTGTGAACAGTTCTCTGGAGGATTAGGCACATTTCACACATGAGGAAAACCGAACCAGAGACAAAGCCTTTCACCCAGGGCCTTTCTAAGTGAGGAGTAGAGTTGGGATTCCTGGAAACCTAAATATTTTCTGGTAAACCAAGGCCTTAATGATTTCCCCCTCCCCTTCCGTTCCTCTCCAGATCTCTCTCTTGCCTCCGGATGTCTTATTTGCAGTCTGCTTTATTGCTCTCTTTCTCTCCTCCCTTCTTGTGCTTTCTATCACTTATTGATCCTTAGTGGTCAGAGCAGGAGCTGCCAGATCTGAGAGTTCCTGGGAGGCCCCCTGCTATGCTCCCTGTTTGCCTTTGATTTTATTAACCTGCTGCGTCCTGCCCATCCTCATTGTTGGCCTTCACTGGTCTCTCCCTAAAGCTCTTCCTACTTTTTCTTTGTAATTTCTGATTCACATAACTTGACTCCAGTTTTTACTTTTAAATTTTGAGTGTGATCGTGTCCCTTTGGTCTTCCTGGTACAGGATACTTTTTCTCTGTAAATACGAAATAAGTTTTTTCATTATTTTAATCTGTTTAATGAAAAGCTTCAAGCCCCTCCCTTTTAAGTCAGTCCTTATGTTTAGATAGTTCTTTATAATTTGCAAAGCATTTTGACATAAAATTTTATGGATTACTCAGGTTCATTATATCTGTATCATGACTTTGTAAAAGATGTGTTGGAAAGTTATCTTCCTTTCACTCATTGGAATGCTGAAGCTCAGAGAGGTTAACCCACCTTTCTGTTAAATAGATCACACAGCTACTAGAGATACTTGTCCAGTGTTTATTTCTACTTTAACTTTTTTATACTTTCCGTATCTTCTATCTAGAATGATTATATTTTCTTAACTATAAATCTAAAGCTGATGTTAACAGAAGATTGTATTTATAATTTGAATTAAATTATATATTTTATAATAAATCATATATAATTTATGTAATATATGAATATGTAAATACTAAATATAGTTTTGTGGTATAATTTACATTTAAAATTTTAAGTAATTATAAATATTTTCTATTTTATAAATTTACATGCATAAACTTTAATTTTTACATCTTAATTTTTTCATTACAGAAATATATGATCTTTCTAAAACTTGAAATATAGAAATATTTAATGTAGACAGTGAAAATCCTAGCAGATAATCAATATTGATAAATGGGTTATTGTCCTGGCATCTTATTCATAATATCGTACTATAAGAACTGTTTTTAATGTGTACTTTTTTCACTTGAGTGTTTTGAATGTACTTTTTTTGCAGTCATTCTCGAAAATTTTGACCTTATAAAATTTAAACCATGTTATCTGTCCTTTCAATAAAAGGCGTTTATAGGAAAGAATAAAACTAATAAGTACTCAGGACCATTTGAGAAAACCCAGACAATCTTTTTAATGCTCTAGTTAAATACTGGAAAGTATATATCCTATAGAGTACCTTACAGGTAACTTGTAGTTACTTAGATCAAGATTCTCTTTACTTTTCATCACATGCCCTCTCTATTTTCTTATTATTTCACTAATAAAACTATAACCTTACTGAGAAAGCCCATTTGCCCATACATTTTGTAAGGGGTAAGGAGAAATAAAAAATGAAAAAGTTGTTTTGGCCTAGACAAATTCACTTCAAAGAGGGCAGCTGTAGGATGTGGAAGGAAAAATGCTAGGTTGGATTCTGTAGTTTTCATTCCCACTGTCTGCCTCTTCTCCCAGGTGATCGTGGAGAAGGCTCCTAAGGCCAGAGTGCCTGATCTGGACAAGAGGAAGTACCTAGTGCCCTCTGACCTCACTGGTAAAGCTTTCCCTCCCCTGACCCTTCCTCCCTTGGCAAGCGTTCCCAGTCCTTCCTGCATGCTTTGAGTTGAAGAATTGAAGAAAGTGAGTGTGCTTCTCCACAGAGTTAGGTGATTCAAAAATGGGGACAATCGTTTTTCTCTATCACCAATTCCCTTAAGCGTCTCCCATAATAGTGCGTTGTTTGATTTTGACACAACAAAGTGCAAAACATTGAAAGAAAAGATCAGACATCCATTATTTAAATGACTTAAAATTCAGCTTTGTTATTGTGGTATGAATTTATTCCGAAAAGAAAATCAGACTAGTTTCTTAGAAGGATCACATTTTAGAGATTCTCAGCTGAATTGTCTCCTCAAACTACAGTTTTTTGTTAATACATTTTGTAGATACTGTTTCGAATTGCAAAGGGTATTCATTCTTCACCTTGATTCTCAATGGAATAACCACTGCATCCAGGGGACACTAGAAAGATTTGGTAGATATGTTTGCTCCCGAGTTATTAGATTTGACTCTCAACTTTCTAGAGCTTTCATTGTGCTCAGCTAAAGGAAAAGCATTGAACTCCACTCATTGCCCCAACATTGGAGTGAGTAGCCATGCTAAGATTACTGGGAGTCCAGTAGACCTCTTCGCATCACTCATCTGCGTTAGGGTGAGAGTGGGCATGGGAGTGTTTCAAATCAAGTTGAGACAGTGATGGATAGTATTCCCTCAAAGTCATCCTCAGGCTTTGAGTGGGTATGCTAACATTAGGTCTGAAATAGAGTAAGGAGGGGAAGTATTGAGGAATAAACTCCTCAATGGCATGTCAGGGAATATGCAGTCTTCTTTGAGTTTCCCTTTTTATTTCTAAAGCTGTGGGACAGTATTTGGCTTTGCTCAGATGGCATGTAAAGCCGATCCTTTAAAGGGAACGGGTACAGTAGAATTTTTTTCTGGGTCTTAACCCTTCTCCTAATGCCTTGTTTTCTTCTCTTGCCTTCTTTTTCTAAAACCTTCCTTCATCCAGTTGGCCAGTTCTACTTCTTAATCCGGAAGAGGATCCACCTGAGACCTGAGGACGCCTTATTCTTCTTTGTCAACAACACTATCCCTCCCACTAGCGCTACCATGGGCCAGCTGTATGAGGTAATGGTCCTGGTCACAACAATACCTTGAAGTCTGGTGTTCTCTGGCTTTTGTTCCAGTGCATGTTGCTAACACCTGGGAAGTAGGGCAGGAGGTGTTGTTTATCAGGATCCTCTTACACACCGCAGTGTAGGGCTCTGGGCCATGAGATACCATTTGTCCTTTAGGGATTGAGCAGTCTGCTAGGTTTAATACCTACCTTCAAATTCTCTTCTCAGTCTCCTTGCTGTAGTGTTTTAATTTTGGATCGTCTTTATTGAAACAGCAGGAAATGGTTCCTGATTACAAAAATTCCGGATAAAATGAAATTTAAAATTAAGGCAAAATTTTTAAGTTGATTTATTTGTTTTAACAGATAAACTGAGCTGGAGAGAATAATTTTTGTGATTTCTTTTGGTTTAATTGGTAAACTGTCCGAATCTGAGAAAACTATAGGAAAGGACTTTACCCTACTGTATCATCTAAGATTGTAACTGGATTGTTCCTTAAAAGATTTCAGAAAAGATGCTGCCGCCTTCTTGTGCCCCATTACTGAATTGCATAAACTTCTAATGCCTCTAATCTGACTTTTATTCCATAGCATATGTTGCCTATTAATATATATTCCAGTATGTATGTTTTGTTGTATCTGTGTTCCCTTTGCTAGAATGAGCTTTTTTAAGGTTAAGGATTATGTCCTGCTCATGTTCATATCCTTGATACCTATGTGTATGATGTTCTCCATGAAGGTTTTTTGTTTATGAACTCATAATTGAATTCCAACCACTTCTGTTTATTCTTTGTTCCTCTTTTTAATGGGTCTAATGATAACCTTCCATACGTATTTACAAGGTTGTGTGGAGCTCAGGATCCTAGAGATAATAGATGTGATTATGTTTTCTAAACTGTCCTCTTATCTCTTCCCTAGGACAACCATGAGGAAGACTATTTTCTGTATGTGGCCTACAGTGATGAGAGTGTCTATGGGAAGTGAGTGGTGGAAGCCCAGCAGATGGGAGCACCTGGACTTGGGGGTAGAGGGAGGGGTGTGTGTGGGACTTGGGGAAAGAGAGGGAGGGCTCCCACGGTGGAGGAGACAGAGGTGAAGACATCTGGAAACACTACACCGCACACACCGTCATCATATTTTCACATGCTCACTTGATAATTTTTTGCTGCTTCCTCGGCCCAGGGAGAAAGCTTGTCAGGACAGAGCTGTTGGATTGGCTTTGCTAGAGGAATGGGGATGATGTAATTTCACAGCACTGCTGCGAATTAATTTTTGTGCGATTTCATGGAAGACTGAGGAGGTAGGCAGGTTGGGGCCAGAGATGGTTGTGGACCAGTAGCAACTTCCTGCTCTTCTCTTTGGGCAGGGATTCTGTTTTTGACATTTGCACAAGACAGGTAGGAAAAGGGGATGGGAATGTTTTAGACTATTGGTAGTGGACCATTCTGGGGACCAAAAGAGATCCATTGTAATTAAAACATTGTGATGCGTGATCTCGCCTATCTCCACACTTCTCCCCATCCCAATCCTAATCTCACACACAAATATTACAGTACCACCCCAGTGGTAGTGATAGACATCAGACACAGAAATTTAGATGGAGCTCTCTTACTGTTGGAAAATAGGGGTAAGGCGTGAAGGATGTTGTTATTGTGAAGATAGTTTCAATAGCGTTAAACTGGAATTGCTAAGTATTGAGCATCTCTGTCTAACCTGCTCTCTCTCTGGTGCCCCTTATTCCACACCTACCTTAGACTTTAATGAACCTCAGCCATTTTCAATTACAGGCTAAAACCACTCCCCCAGCATTCCCCAAACTTCACTCCGTGTGTAGGGACGGAGATGTCTTATGTATGGAAGGGGCAGGTATGAGGTAAGATAGGTTGTCTGCACCTCCCACTCATCCAGAATTCTTGCTCCCTTGCTCCTGTCCCTTCCATCTCACACGCACAGAAATACTAAAGGATGGCCAGCTGCTTCCCTCCTTTGGTTTTCATTTACTGCAGCTGCTAGTTAGGAAAGTTTGAAGGGATGACTTTTAGTAATTCATGGGGATTCTGTTGATTCAGATTATTGTCACTTTAGGGGTTATTAAATGGGTGGGGGTGGGGAGCAGGAATTGCACTCAGACGTGACATTTCAGTTCATCTCTGCTAATGAAAAGTGTTCTTCCTATGGGGGAAATCTATGTGTCAGTTCTGTCAGCTGCAGGTTCTTGTATAATGAAGTTTATGCTGTCAGGCCAAGAAAATAAAATAATTGCATACCTTAAAAACTCACGGTGAGTTCAGAAATGTTGCCTTTATTGAGCATGAGTTAGAGTAGATGGCATGTGGACTCTGAGCAGAAAACTTTGAGTGAGGGTGGCTCTTGGCAATGAATGATCACGTATGGTCAGACATCCATGTTTGTCAGTTCCTTACTGACCAGGAATTGGTGAATGTGGGGGCAGTGTGCCTGGTGCAGTGGTAGTATGTGTGTGATTTTCTCTGCAGATAAATGCTTTGTCACTGCGTTACGTGTTCCTCAAAGCTGAAGGAGGAAGATTGCCTACATGAGACTACAGAGGGTGAGGTTGGGGGTATGCTTATTAAAAATGCAGATATCTAGGCTTTGTCCCAGATTTAGCCGACTCAATCTCATCGTAGGCGTCTGTATTTTTAACCAGCGCCTCGTGATTCTGCTTCATACTGAAGTTTGAGAGGCATTGCTCTGTGTACCTGGTTTTGCTGTAAGTCCCAACCAAACCTGTTCTCTCCATCACAGCTTGGTCAGTAGGAGGCCATCATTTCCCGAACCAGCAAATGGCATTTAGGCAAGGCCCCTAGGGTCAAATCAAGCTTGGTGTCTTCTGACCATGGGTTCAGGTAGTCAGGAACCAATATGTGCGAGGGCAGTGTGATGCAAGTTATGAGACATTGAAAGAGATTAGTAAAAACTCCTTTCTTAAAGAACTTTAAAACCCATCCCTAATCCTTTTTAATTTCTTGCAGCTATACCCCCAAGTGGTGTATACCTGTGTAGAGTTTCATGGAGTATATCAGAATTACTAGAAAGGAAGTAGGTGATCGTAAAAGATCTGTGGCAGGATTCCACCCACCATCAAACCGTGCCCAGTGTAGTAACTGAGGAAGTTAAGTCGGGATTGAGAGGAAAGGAAGAAATCCAAGCCCTGCAAGTGCCACGTGCAGGAAGTTGTGGAAAGCTCTAAAGAATTATGATGTTGACATCAAAGCATTAAAAATGGTCACCTGTAACTAATTGGGGTGTTTCTGATAAAGCCAGATGGCAGCTAATATTGAATTAAGATAGGAGCTACATTTTGAAACTAGATTTGCCCACTGCATGGGAATGTGACTGGGTGAATGTTTAAGAGCAAATAAACACATGGCAGCTCCCAGCCCTCTCTACCCATGGGAAACAGTCCCCGTCATGCAGGAGAACGCATGTCATTACTAAACCAAAAAGGTATTTTGAATTTAGAGCCTTTGTCTCTTACAGGAGGTCTTTGCTTTTTGCAGTCCGAGTTATCTCTAGATTTTCATGGTGGAAAAAAGTTATCCTTGGATGGGACATTACTTATCACTTTAGAGCAGCCCTTTGATTTTATAGATCCATAAGTTTTAAATAACTAAGTTCAGAGGCAAAGGCAGGCCAAGTATTTCATGCTTTGATTTGGATATGATGCTCTTTCCTGAACGTCAGTGTCTCAGCACCACTCCCATGTTTCCTGCTAGTCAAGCTTTAAAGCTTCTTATACTCTTAGGCCATTGTGAGTCGTCTTGAACTAAAAGCAGTTCAAGAAGAGTCCTTTTATTAACCTGGGCCCTATGTCCCATGTAAGGTTAACTGACATCATGATGCTTCTTTCTCGGGACTAGAATGATGTGTCAAATAAAGTCTGTTCCTTCCTTGGAGGCCACTATGATATCAGTGTCAGAAATGAATACATTTTTGTAGAAACATCTCAAATATATGTATCTGTAGAGTTAGCATACATGTAGATTTGCCAAGGATCGTCTTGATTTATACTTGTCCTGATTGGTTTGTTAATGGTTCCTTATTTCACTGTCATAAGTTCCCCAATGGACAAAATAAATGGTCGCTCTCATACTTAGCATAAAAACGGAAGCTTATTCCCACCATTGAGAGACAGACAGTGTCTGTGCATCCATGTAAGGCATGCCCCATCCGGCTCTTACCCTGTGTACATGGAGACGAGGAGGAGAATGCCACTCCAGAATGTCTGACTGTTCTGCTTTATTCCATTTTTTCCCCCATGCAGTATTGTTTTATTTAAAGCATTGTACACTAAAAAGAAGGAAAAATGTTTGGACTGTATTGTAAAATCAGAGGTTAAGGTTGCAAAAAGATCAAAACAAATGGTGGGTAACCGTTGCGTAGTGGTAACTAAGCAGCCTGGTGCACTGCCTTGTGCAACTCCAGGGGGGCATCATGCCATCGTCCAGTGAACATTGCTCCCCAGTGTGATGTTTGTGGTGCACAATCCTCTGGGTTTTGCAGTGGCCCTTTGGATATAATACCAGTTATTGCCAGTTGCCATGGAATGTTACATTTATTAAGCACACAATTCTGCATTGTATTTATGTCGTTAACCACCAAATATAATAGGTATGGTATTGTTTTGAAGTTTTGTATGTGGGCTGGGAGCATGCATGTGTTCTTGCTTACAGATAACAGTGCCAAGCCAGCTGTTTTAATGGACAAATTCAATCATTTCTGGAAAATAAACTAGTTGATAAAGTGATTTCATTCAGTTTTTACTCTATACAAAACTTAAAATCAACTATTTCTACCTGTGTTTTCTATTGGATATTTTTTTACTCTGACAGATCTGAACAAGCTTCAAGCATTCATCTCCCTGTTTTGTTTTGTTTGTTTTTGCTGCATGAAACGACCAGTTAGTTTCAGAAACTGGCCCCCTCGAGTGGCTCTGAGTCCAGGTTGTCACTCCCGTGCAGGCCTGAGTAACCGAGTATTTGCTTTCTGGCTCTTGGATGCCGCCCAACTCCCCGCCACTCTTTGTTCCCCTGGATGTTCTGGTGGTAGGTCTGCAGTTTGGTCAGCTGCAGCCTGTGGCATCCTGTCCTGTGGATGACTTAGGGCTCTAGAGCTTGTTTTTTCTGGCTATTTTGATATGTAGTTCCCCCAAAAAACCAAAAATAAACATTAGTGTCCCTGTTCCAAAAGCTGTGAGAGACTGATGTCAGCCTAATTGCCCTGTTGTGTCATAGGACCATATTTTTTTATTTTTCCTTTATTTTTACAGTTATGGGTAGTTGGATACTTTGTAAATACATATGCCCAGATTATTTTCCACATTTGAAGTAACAAGAAATGATCACCTCTAGAAGTGGTCAAGTGACGTTTGGACACGCCATTGTGTGGGTGTGCGTATATTTCAACAGTGACTAACAAAATACCTAAGTCATTCTCCTGGTGTGTGTTCAATAGTGTGGATGATCTATTTTGACAGTTCTATTTTCAACACAGCAGTGTAATTAAGATCCTTACGACTTCTGTTTAGAGGTGCTTAGCCCTTGAAACTTGCATAAAGTGATCTTGAGCTCTTGTGTGGGAGTTGAAACACATTTTCTATTTTTATACTTCTAATAGGGTCAAAGTTGCCTCACATCATTCAATAATAGCTTGATGATTGCTTCTTGCCTAGTATTCACAGGATAAAAGTAACAATAAGCCATATTTTAGTTGCTAACATTGGCGAACTCTACCTCCTTCAGGTCTTGGCTCAGCTGTCATCTCGCTGAGGCCCACTCAGCACGTTTTCAGTGTTTCAACAACTTGCACTCACTCACAGCCCTTCCACTCATACCTCTTTGTCCTTTTTGCTTAGCACTGATCACCTTCTAACCCTTTCTTAGGTTTATTGTCTATCTTCTCTCACTGGAGTGTGAGCTCCACAAAGACAAAAACTTGTTCACTGATTTGCACAAATGGGTCAAGACAGTGCCTGACATAGAGTTGATGCTCAAAAGACTGAAAGAAGAGTTGCTTCTGACAGCACGAAGGTTTCGAGGACTAGGTAATTCAGTGAAGAACTGAGTTTTCCGGAAAAGCACAGGTTACAAAAGGGCTATTCAAGGGCACTTTGGGAACCCCTCGAAACTTAGTAGAAGAAGACCTGGAGGCAGGAAATAGGGCTCAGATCCCAGCTCTGACACTTAACTAGCTCTGTGACATGGACCAATTTTTTTTTTAATAAGTGAAATTATGAGTTCCCTTCCTGTCAGATATAATAATTACATCAAGGTTGTGATTGTTAAGTAAATCCTTTGCAAACTGTTAAAACAGCATTATCACGTTAGAAAAAAGCTTTACGTCTAAAATGGCAATAACTTAGGTCAGCTAGCGGGAATCTGGGTTTTGTTTTTTTTATTCATTGGTAATACTGGAGGACATTCATTGGCAAATGCAGCATATGGCATGAGTCAGGGAAAACGTAGTGGCATATGCTGAGCCAGATGTCTCTGAAGAGCTCCCAGATTTGATGGGAAACAGCCGAGAGGGCTCTTTTCCTTTTGGTTAACCCCTTATGAGGATTGATTTTCTTGATGGCAGTAGCTGCCGTTTATCCTCAAAGATGGTACTGTCGGTCTCCTTTTCTGTAGTGGCAGGTGAAACCTAGACGTGGGACAGAGTAACTAGAACATTTTTCAGCCCTATCAGGCTGGAATCAATATAATTTTTGAAACTTATTTTGATTTTTTGGGCTCAATTATAAAATGTCCAGGCAAATATTCGTCATGCTATAACACATTAATAAATATAACTAACTGCCATGCATTAGTTTTTATACCACCTAAAGCAGAATGAACTGTAAAACACGGCCTTCCAGAGAGGATGCCCTTGGACCAGGTGTCCTGCAGCCCAGTGCTGCTCTGCCCCAGGAGCGCTGCTTCCCTCGTGAGGGCAGTCCAGTGCTTCTGGAAGGGCAAGTCAGGTGCCTTTTCTCTTTGCCCACTTTTAGTCAACATTATTATCCCAAATGGCAGATCCCTCCAGGACCCACACTTCTTAAATACCCATGAATGAACAAAAGGGAGATCAAAGAAAGGGAGGGAAAGAGGATAAACCTTTGTTGGTATTTATTTTTATATATGTGTATATATTTATTATATTTATGTATTATAATTATGTATAAATCACTGCTAGATACTTCATTGTTCTCTCACTGAGTCTTGGAAAGTAAACTCTAGGGTGAATATTTTAGTTCAACTTTATGTGGAAGGAAAGTTAATTTTTCCAAGATCAAATAGCTAATGTTGAGCTATATAGCTAGATATTCAAACCCAGAACTAATTGCAAATCTCATGCACGGGTCTTCACCATGGTCAAAGCAGTTTAGGGCCCTTTAGTGATTCCATGTGAAGCTTTGATAGGAGAAAAGACTGAAGCTATAAAGTATTTTAGTTTCTCTTTGCGGTGCCCCCCCTCCCCCCCATCCTGTAACTGGGTTGCTTCTGCTTATGTGTAAACACCAGGTTATTTTACACCTCAGCCCCTCCTCTTATTTTGCTGTCTATCTGGAATGCTCTTCCCTATCCTACCTGCCCCCGAGTTCTCCCCAGGAGCAGCACCTGTGTGAGGAGTGCTTGTAACAAGTAACAGAAAAACTAACAGTGGCTTAAACAAGAGTGGTTTATTCTCTCATGTAAAAGTCCAGGTCTGATGTAATGGTGCTATCTCTTGAGGCCCAAGCTACTCCTACCCTCTGCTCCCAATCAGTTGGGTCTGGCCCTCATCCATAAGGTCAAAGGCAACATCTGTTCGCTGTAGCCAGATGGAGGAAAAGATCCAGAAGAAGACACAGCGTACAGGCTATCTCTTAAGAAGTTTCCCTAAAGGTGCTAAGGAGAGTTCCACTATTTCCATTGGCGAGAATTTAGTAACCTGGCCATGCATGTCTGCAAATGGAATTTTCATCCTAGGTGTCCGTCTGCCTGGCTCAAAACTTTATTAGTGTGGAAGAAGAGCGTAAGGGATAATTATTCTGTGAAGCAGTTCCTAATATCTCCTTCAGCTCTCTGGAAATTTGGCAACATAATTCTTAGTGCAGCTACTGTATCCTGTATCACAGTACTTCTGTTAAGGCATCCATATATTTCATTGTGTGATTCTTTTGTATAATTTAGTTTTAAACATATCTTGCTTCCCGAGTTGTATTTTATGTCCCTCAAGGGCCAGGACCATATCTTATTTGTGTCCCTGGTAGCCAGCAGATAACTAGGAGCTAATGATTGTTAAATGAAGCAGTGATTAAGTAAGAATATGGATACATATACTGAAAAATGAGATTTACCTGTTAACTCTTAGAGCGTACCCACCTGAGGTCTTCAACTTAATCTAGACTCTTCTGGCATTAATTGCTTAACAAGCAACTAGGAATCCCTTTACCTCATAAGTGAAGTGATTTTCTTTATAGTTATATGGGAGACATACTATAAAATGAATTTAAAACATACTGTGATGTAATTAAATTAATGTGTTTAATGTACTAATTTCATAGTAATAAAACAGCATTAACTTCCTTAAAACCAGCGCTGGTGCTCTAGGGGTTAAGATTAGGCACTCTCACTGCCACAGCCTGGGTTCATTTTCCAGTCAGGGAACCACCACCTGTCTGTCGGTTGTCACGTTGTGGCAGCTGTGTGTTGCTATGATGCCGAAAGCTATGCCACTGGGATTTCAAATACCAGCAGGGTCACCCATGGTGGGCAGATTTCAGTGGAGCTTTCAGACTAAGACACACTAGAAAGAAGGACCTGGCCACCCACTTCTGAAAAAATTAGCCACGAAATCCCTGCGAATAGCAGCATTGTCTGATACGGTGCTGGAAGATGAGAGGATGGCACAGAAAGACGGGGCAGGGTTCTGCTCTGCTTTTCACAGGTCACTAGGAGTCGGAATCGACTCAAAGGCACTAACAACTACAAACATTCTTAAATTCCCAGGGTCAATTTTATTACTAGAATAAGAAGAGACTGAGTTATTTCAATGAATATAAGGTTAATCACCCCACTCACTTTTTCCACCTTGGCTAAAAGTCATACTGGACCTAAGGATGGGTGGGCATTAAGTGCCATTAGTGCTTTGAATCTCTGTGTGGTCTTTATTTTTGCTTATAAGGAATTTGAGATAGAGGTTAAGTGATTTGCAAAATGTTCCCAGTTTTAATAATTTTCAACCTATTTTGGAGGGTTAATTCATGTTATATTTTTTTGCTTTGTGAGCCTACTTGTATAGGTTCTTTTTGTTTTTTGTTTTTGTTTTTGTTTTTTTGACCAAGATTAGCCCTGAGCTAACTACTGGCAGTCCTCTTTTTTGCTGAGGAAGCCTGGCCCTGAGCTAACATCGTGCCCATCTTCCTCTACTTTATATGTGGGACGCCTACCACAGCATGGCATGCCAAGCAGTGCCATGTCCGCACCCGGGATCCGAACCAGTGAAGCGAACCCCGGGCCGCTGAGAAGCGGAATGTGAGAACTTAACCGCTGCACCACTGGGCCGGCCCCTAGGTTCTTTTTGAAATGCAATTATATTTATACTTTTTTTTTTAACCCTAACACAGGGACTTGCACAAGTAACTAAAGATTAAGGGGTAGAAAGAATCTTAAGAATTTGAAAGAATGTTAAAAGTACATATTAAGAGTTGAGGCTTGAGAGATGCAGCAGATGAAACCATTTTCCTCTTCTCCCACAGTAATAGATTTCTTAGCCAGGCACATG